GACAATGTCTGTAACCTAGAGCATACAGAATATTAGAGTTGAAAGGACCATACACTTGCTCCCAATAGGTGGACTAAGGATTCTTGCCTCCTCCAAATTGTTGCAAGTGTTCCGGGTTGCATCAGACACCATTTGAGGATAAAGTCCTGTTACATACCAATATTCAGTACTATTTTACTGTTGTGATTAATATATAAATTTGTCTCAAAACATTCTTCTTAGTAGCTTTGCATCATGTTGCATTTTCTCTGTTGGCCTTTATAAAACATACAACTCGCCAATCAGGATGCAGTACCAAGGAGTCATAAAATGCTTGACATTAAACAGGAGCCCTTGTGCTCAGAAAAGTCAAGCATTGGTGCTCTCCTTTCCAAGGCCCCGGAAAATGATGTGTGATATACTCGCTTGCACAGCTTATTAAGGAAAACACTGGTGAGAACTTTGTTCTCCTAATCCCTAGTCTGAAACTCCCAAGAGTGGAGATGTTTGCATTATTACTTCTGCAAAAACCAGAAAAGTACTTAATGTTTCGATTAGTATGCATGAAGCCAAGTATTGACAGGAAATGGGTTACGTGGAAAACATTTAAAACACTACCTGGCACGTACGCATAAAGCCCTCAGTAAAGGATAGCTATTATCATGATGGCTGTTAATACAATGGCTATTCAGTAAAGAGTGTTTTGACAGGTTTTTTTCCCTCTGTTGCTCAGAGTAACTTATCACATCTACGTGCCACATCTTAAGTTATATCATTTGTCACTCAGGCAAACGGCTTCTGTCTTCACTGCTTGTCCTCTCAGAATAGTAGTGGGTGGACACTTTTCAAATCTCCCTTCCAGATGTCTGTTAGGACGAGAGGCTCTTGCCATTAGCACCGAGGCTGACTTTGGAGGCAAGTCCTTGCGGTGTCTTTTGTTGGGGCCTCTGACATTGGCCTTCAATGTGCACGCTTAAAACAGAGCTCAGTTTTGTTGATGAATTACCCATTGGGATTTGGTATGTTTCTGTTAACTAAACAGATTTATACATTTATTTTCGAGCAATGTTCTTTTAATCTGTCCTCCTCTCTGCCTCTTTCTTCTATTTATTGAGAGATTTAACGGTAGATCAATATTTATTTAACATGTAAACCCAGAGGTAGTCTCCAGAGATCTGGTATCTCATTTTAGAATGTGGCCCCAGGTGATAGTAGAAAACTGGTGACTGAGAGAGATTTACATCTGACTGTGCAAATAGAGTACCCACTTCACAAAACTGTGTCACACCCAGATTAATCACAGTAGTTAAATATAAAGACAATTCTCCTTGGGCTTTTCAGGTTAATTTAGGATGGAAGCAAGTGTTTCACAATGGGTTTGGTTCTGAATTTTTTCAGTTCCATGTGAGTTCCCTTTCTTTGGCTAGTGATCTAGGAATTTGATGTCTACGCTAAATAAGAGATTATGTAGAATTTGGAGTTATGCATAAATACCATAATTGGAAAATTAATTGACTAAATATATGAAAAGTGTTTAGAATAGTGCCTGATGTAGTAAATGCCATATCAATTATTATTAGAACTAAATTGAAAGGCTTTTATATTCATACTAGAGGCCCAGTGCATGAAATTTGTGCATGAGGGGTGTCCCTCAGCCCGGCCTGCACCCTCTTGCAATCCAGGACCCCTCGGGGGATATTTGCCAATTTAAGCCTGTGGGACCAGGTCTAAATTGGCAGTCAAACATCCCTCTTGCAGTCCGGGGCTCCTAACTGCTAAATGCCTCTGCCTGGTCACCCCTAACCACTCACCTGCCTGCCCGATCACCCCTAACTACTCACCTGCCTACCTGATTACCTCTAACCGCCTCTTCCTTGGCCCCTGCTGAGGCAGCTTCATCCTGAAGGACATCCAGAATGAAGTCCAAAAGGTTGTTCGGCTGTCTGGTCTAATTAGCATATTGCACTTTTATTATTATAAAGAAAAAACTGTCAAATAGTCATTCTAATTAGAAGGAGAAAAGAGTGATTCTCCAATATATGGTTTCTGTGGCTAAATTAAGTTTTGTTGTGATAAATGCACAGTTTATATTGGTGTGTGGCTAACATTTATTGAGCACCCACTATTTCCCAATTACTGTGCTAAGGAGTTTACATATTTTATTTAATTCTCACAACGACCTTATGGAGGTAGATACTATTATCCCTACTTAACAGATGAGAAAACTGAGGTTAAGAGTAAGTGAACTTCTAAAGGTCCAAGAGCAGGTATTTGATCTAATATTTCAAGGTTGGTGCCTTCAAAATATGCTTTCAACTTTCACAATATTGACATTTTTGTATAGCAATAAGATATAAATCTGCACTTTTTATCAGAACTTAGACAAATGAAATTGGCTTCATTTATTCCCCACCCTCCTGATTGTTGGTTGTATGCCATGTTTTAATCAGAATGAGGATACCTTGGGGCCTTAAAGAGGTTTTCGCCTCCTAAATGTTCATAGCTATTTGTGGCTCAGTATTATACAAACCTAGTAGGAATAGCTTTTATACTTTCCCCCACCCTCAAAAAGCAACAATTTCTATAATTCCTTTCCTATATAAGAAAGAAACCCTGGTTTGTGGCACCATAGTTGCTTGTAGTAAAGGATGTTTAGAATAAAGCAGTCTGGCAGAGGGACGCTGGCTTGGCCTCCTGGTTTACCATCAAGTTTGTTCTGAGAAGCAACATCGCCACGGAGCAAGATGCCCACTGTTGTGCTTTCCAGAGAACACAGAAAATTTGCTCATCTCCATTGCCTGTTGGCTTTGGGTTTCCTGCAGCTGCTCTCATTTCATCTTTAATTAGCCTGTCTCATATAATATATGACTTGCAAGACACTCCTGCTGCACACTCAGAAGTTTGACTTTGAATCTTCGAATAAGATCATTCAGCAGATCTAAGTAGGGCATTTCCATCTCCTTTTGGCATTCGGCAGCGTTTGCTATTCTGTGCCTCTGCGTGCGGTGAGACAGAGCTGCCTCTGATGCCTCCTGTGAACGCCATGCTGGCCTATTATGTCATTTCTCATCTCTGAATTCCTGCAGGATGCGCAATCTTAATGCACTGGCTCATACTGGCTTATTTTGGAGCAGTTTCATGTGTGAAAGGCAGGAACACCGGTGTGTCTCCTTGAGAATCTGACTCAGGGTTGGGCAGCGGTGAGATTAATAAAGAAAGAAATGGAGAGAAACAAGGGAGAAAGAAAGGTGTTATGTCTGCCTTATCTCCCAAATTAGATTGCTGGCTTCTCAGCTCAGAGGTCAAATCTATTTTTCCCATCTCCTTTAATGCTTACTGGAATATTAGGCAAGCAGTGAGTATGCAGTGTAGACTTATTGCCTGAAAGCCTAGGTTTTACTTTAATTAATAGACTATGTCAAAAAAGCTACGTACCATTTCCATTCCTTTGAACTTAATGCAACCCAAAGGAAGGACAGTTTTCTGCAGATGTTATCGAAATGTTATTTACATTGAATTGGAGGTTTCTCTGAATTGGTTTTAGATTGGTCATAAGCAGAACTGTAATCCTCATTACAGAGGACATACCTCTGCTCTGGTGGCACAGTGGAGATAGTCATGATGACAGAAGTGCACGTATTTGTGAGGTGGAGTGCTATTCTGAGGAAAGTACCCAAGGTGACATCCTGTCTATGCCTAAAATGCTGCAGTGAATAAAAGCTCTTTCTCACCAAGAGGGCTTGCATTTGGCCCCAAGAAGGAGTCAGTGGCCCAGTGACCAGGACTGGGGGGTATGCAGCGCGCACCTTGCACCTCTGTCAGAAATCAGGTGACCATATACTTGTAGATCCACTTCCGGACCTTCATTCTGTTCTATCATGCTGTATCTTTTTACCTCTACTGAGCTCTACTGATCACAATAACTTTATAGTACAGTTGTTTAGGCCAAAATATCTTAGGGTCATCATGACTTTTTCTCTCCTACTCTACATCTAATCTATCAGCAAATCCTATTGATTGTACTTTCAAAATATATCCCGAATCTGATGGCTTCTGACCAACTCCATCACTTTCATCTTACTGTCTCCTAACTGAGCAGTGTGTGTGTATGTAATATTCGAATTTGATTATTGTGTTTTCCCCACTAGAATTAAAGTATGGACTTGGTCTGTTTTGTTTACTGTTGTCTTCCCTATCAGATTAGAGTGGTCAGGGCAGAAGTCTCTGAGGAGAGGGTATTTGAGCTAAGCATGAAGGGGAACCAGCTATGCAGAAGTCTAAGAGTGCACTCCAGGCAAAGGAAAGGGCCCTCCAGTGGAAATGCTTGTCGTGTTTGTAATGTGTGTGTGGGGGGAGGGGCGGCAATAAGAATCTCAGTATGTCTAGAATATAGCAAATTATGGAAAGAGTGGAACAAAATGAAGTGGGAGAGTCAGGGCCAAATCATCATGTAGTTTTGCCTGACCCAGATATAACAGGAAAAGTGTTGGGAAGCTCTAGATTGCACTGCAGATTACTACTCATAACTACTAGCAGCACTCAAATACTTAAAATTTAATACACTAAAAGTAAATAAAACACTCAGTTTCTCAGTTACATTAGTCACATGTGGATAATGGCTACCTACTAAATAGCACAGCACAGATGGAGACCTTTCCATCCTCACAGAAAGTTGTGTTGGATGGTGATGCTCTAGGAACACAATCAAAGGAGAAATAATGCCAACTTTGCTTGGCCTCTCTTTTGTGACTTTCTGTTAACCCTAGAATCAGTTTTTCTATTTAAATTGAAATGGATGTGGTGCCTAAAAAATTAGCATGTGGACTGTTCCATATGCAAATGTTGGTATGGATGATTTTCATCTGTGACAGAAAAGATAGGAGAGACTGTTAGATCACAAGCTTTCTTAGCCTCATTATAAATACATTGCAAATGTAAAAAGTGCGAAGTGCAGAAGTCATAAATGTGAAAGTGGCTTCCAATTTGTTTTAATAAGGGTGTTTTCTGTGTTTGTAACCTAGGGATCTTGCTGCAAGAAACTGCCTGGTAGGTGAAAACAATGTTCTGAAAATCAGTGACTTTGGAATGTCTCGCCAAGAGGAAGGTGGAGTGTATTCATCTTCTGGCTTAAAGCAGATTCCCATTAAATGGACAGCACCAGAAGCTCTTAATTACGGTAAGATTGAACTCTTTCCTTTTGGTGGTAAAAAAAAAAAAAAAAAAAAAAAAAAAGGGCTCCAACAGAACAAAACATTCACAAGCAAAGTTAGAGGGGTACAATAGAGTACAAGATAGAATGAGGTATAAAATGTTCATACTTTGCACTTAAACATGAGCACCAACTTAATTCATTGACCTTTCTGATCAGATGTTTATATGTAAGATTGCTAATTTTAAAAGATGATTACAAGCATTTTCAAATCTGAGAGTTCCTTTTTATCTGAAAAACTATTAAAAATTTTTAATTTATTAGAGTGACATTGGTTAACAAGATTATACAAGTTTCAAGTGTACAATTTTATATGACATCTATATATTGTATTGTGTGTTCACTATCCAAAGTTGTCTCCTTCCAATACCACACATTTGACCCTCTTTACCCTCTGCATCCTTCCTCCTCTCATAACTGCCATACTGTTGTCTGTGTCTATGAATTTGTTTTACTGGTTCATTTATTACTTTTTTTTTTATATCCCACATATGAATGAAGTCATATGGTTCTTGTTCTTTTCCGACTCATTTTACTTTAGATCATACTCTCAAGGCCCATTTGTATTGTTGCAAAGGCTTTTTATGGTTGAGTAATATTCCACAGTATAAATGCACTCTATCTTTTTTATCTAATCATCCATCAAAGGATACTTAAGTTGTTTCCATGTCTTGGCTACTGTGAACATAGAGGTACATATATCTTTAAAAATAAATGTAGATATCCATAAGAGGGATTTTTGGATCATATGCTAGCTTTATTAATTTTTGAGGAATCTTTATACTGTTGTCCGTAGAGGCTGTACTAGACTACCCAGCCACAAGTAGTGAATGAGGGTTCCCTTTTCTCTCCAACCCCTCCAAGATTTGTTATTACTTGTCTTGTTGATAATAGCCATTCTAACCGATGTGAAGTGGTATCTCATGGTGGCTTTGATTTGCATTTTCCTATAGCTAGTGAATTCAAGCATCTTTATATATATGTTGGCCATTTGTATGTCTTCTTCAGGTCCTCTGCCCATTTATAAATTAAAGTGTTTTGTTGTTGAGTTCTTTATATATTTTGGATATTAGCCCCTTATCATAGGTAGTGTTTGCAAATATATACTCCTATATATTTGATTGCCTTTTTGTTTTGTTGATGGCTTTTTTTAGTTGTGTAGAATGAAGTCCCATTCATTTATTTTTACTTTAACTTCCTTTGCCTTTGGGGTCAAATTCACAAAAACCTCTCTGAGACTAAGAAATCCATAGTTTAGTTCATATGTTTTTATCTATGTATTTTATTGTTTTAGGTCTTTTATTTAAGTTTTTAGGTCTTTTATGTAAGTTTTTAATCTATTTTGAGGGGAGAGACCAAGAGGTTTTCTCACTCTGCCATGATGCTGATGTCACTACCAGATTTTCATTTTAAGAATCAGATTATACGCAGAGTAAAAGTGTTGCTATGGCTTTGGCATTTCTTTTGAATTTCTTATAACTTCATCTAATGTTAGGTTCCTAAAATATTAAGCCCATCAATCCTGGAGTTACTCACTCTGAAAACTGACATGGTTTCTTAGCATCTCAGTCTCTGGAACTTGTATAAATCTTGTGGAAAGAGATGGGAATTGCATTTTAAAACAGCAGGGATTTTTTTAACTTGAATTTTTTATGTGCCATTGTAATTGGATATAAATACAGCTTGCATTATCTGTGGTTGGGATGAAATGGGCCATAACAAGATGGGTAGCAGCTCAAGAATTTTGAAAGAAAAAGATTGTGCTTTGCGTGAAATTAAAATTGCACTTTTAGTAAGAGAAGCAGCATAAAAGCAATGGGTTGGTGAATGGGTATAGTATGGTTTGAATTAAAATAACATAAAATTATTTTTGTTGATTTAAAATGAGAAATTACGTCATGAGAAATAAGGCATTTATAAATGTCTTTAATTAATTTAGGCATTAGATTCATACAAATAAACCTTTTTATAAAATGCATGTAACAAAATTAACCATTTTAAAGTGAATAATTCAGTAGCATTTAGTACAATTCACAATGTTGTGCAACCCCTGCCTCCATCTAGTTCCAAAATAAAACCCTTTACCCAGTACGAAGTTACTTCCCATTACTCTCTCCTCAGCCACTGACAACCACATACCTGCTTTTTCATGCTGTGGATTTACCTATTCTACATATTTCATGGAAATTGAATCATACAATATGTGGCTTTTTTCACTTAGCATAATGTTTTCAAGGTTCATCCATGTTGCAGACTATTATTCCTTTTCACAGCTGATTAATATTCCACTTTATATATTTACCACAGTTTATTCATCCATTGATGTATTTTTCAGCAGTTTTGAAATTTGTGAATAGCATCACTATGAACATCTGTGTACATGGATTTGAATACCTGTTTTCAATTATTCTAAGTAAATACTAGGAAGCATGTAGTAATTCTATATTTAACTTTCTGAGGAACCAACAGATGTTTTCCAGATAAAGCTGTGGAATATAATTGGTTTGGGACTTATTTGGGGCAGAAACTAGAATCTCTCTTTATTGTGTATACCAAGGATACATGGGATAGACACGTGTAGGTAGTTGCCATTATGAGAAGTTGACAAGGCTGTATTGGGTTGGCAACAATGAAGTTTTCAAAATTAATGTTCTACAGATAGTAAGCCTCACCCTTAGTTTGTCTTCCCAGATGCTACCAAGAGAAGCTTTTGTGAGCTTCCACTATTCCTCATTTTTAGAGAAAGTAGCAGTTCTGTTAGTTTCCATTATGATTCTTCTCTGGGGTGGTGGTTGTTATTACTCTAAGGAGATCAATCACACATTGGAAGATTGGATAAAAGACATTGCTAAGCCCCTCCTTATTCATTCTTATAGGGATGCTATAAGTGAGCTGGACCTGGACTTGGGATATCCTAAAGGCTTACCAGTAAAATACAGATCTCTGGAATTTGTTCTTATACCTGTTTGGTAGATCTACATTATATTGCCTTTACAACTCCTCTTACTTATATGCAATTATGCCAAGTAAATTCTGCCTTTCAACAAAAGTGTATTTTAATTGAATTTCAAGCTGATGACAGTATTTACAAATCACTACTCTAATTCCAGATATCTCTTAACAGCCAGGTTTCAAGCATTATATTTTTAAGTATTTAAAAATATATTAGTTATATTAGTTTCAGGTGTAAAATATAGTGATTTAACATTTTTATACTTTACAGTGTGATTACTGACTATATATATTACCCTTTACCCTACTCCCTCCCTTCTGATAGCCATCAGTTTGATCTCTATATCTGTTTTTGTTTGGTGTATTTTTTAGATTCCACATATAAGTGAAACCATACAGTATTTGTCTTTCTGACTTATTTTACTTATCATAATATTCTCTAGGTCCATTCATGTTTTAAAAATGGCAAGATTTCATTTTTTATTGCAGTGTAATATTCCAGTGCGCGCGCGCGCGCGCGCGCACACACACACACATATATATATATATAATATATTATATATATATAATATTCCTTCATTCATATATATATATATATATATATATGAATGAAGGAATATTATATGAATATTCCAGTGCTCACATATATATACATATACTTATATATCATATATAAAATATTCGTTCATGTCTTCTTTACCCATTCATCTGTTGGATATCTTGATTGCCTCCGTATCTTTGATATTATAAGTAATGTTGCAATGAACATAGGGATGCATGTCTTATCTCCTCTGCCCATTTTTTAATCATATTGATATTGTTGAGTTATATTAGGTTTCTTATATAATTTGATTATCAAATCCTTATGTGCAAATATAACCTCCATTCAGTAGGTTGTCTATGTTTTGTTGATGGTTTCCTTTCACTGTACAGAAGCTTTTTAGTTGAATGAAGTTCTGTTTATTTTTGCTTTTGTTTCCTTGCTCAAAGAGTATATCCAAAAAGATATTATACAGACTGATGTCAGAAATTTACTGTTTTCCTCTACAAGTTTTATGGTTTCAGGTCTTAAACTCAATGTATTAAAGATTTAAGTGTATTTTTTAAATTTTATTGATTTTTTACAGAGAGGAAGGGAGAGAGCTAGAAATCGAACAGCTGCCTCCTGCACACCCCCCCCCCACCAGGGATGTGCCCGCAACCAAGGTACATGCCCTTGACCGGAATCGAACCTGGGACCTTTCAGTCCACAGACCGACGCTCTACCACTGAGTCAAACCGGTTTCGGCTTGAATTTGTATATGGTGTAAAAGAGTGGTCTGGTGTTTGTAATACCACTTGCTGAATAGGCTATCATTACTCCATTAACGTAGACTAGTTGGTTATATAATATGGTAACCTACTAAGTAGGAGAAAATATTTGCAAGTTATATATCTGATTATGAGTTAATATCCAAAATATATAAAGAACTCATACAATCCAACAGCAAAAACAAAACAAAAAAAAATTGATTAAAAAAATGGGCAGAAGATCTGAATTCACATTTTTCTAAAGAAAACATAGAGGTGACCAACTGGTACATGAAAAGATTCTCAATGTTGCTAATCATCAGGGAAATTAAAGCCACAATTAAATATTACCTCATATCTGTTAGAGTGGCTATTATAAAAAAAAAAAAAAAAAAAGACAAGATATAACAAATGTTGGGGAAGATGTGGAGAAAAGAGAACCCCTGTGCACTTTTGGTGGACTTATAAATTGGTGCAGCCACAAAGTAAAACAGTTTTTTAAATTTTTCAACAAAGTACTATATAATCCAGCTATTCCACTTCTGAGTATATATGTGAAGGAAATAAAATCATTATTTGAAAGAGATATAATTATTCCCCATGTTCATTGTAACATTATTTACAATAGCCAAGATATTGGAATAACCTTAGTGCTCATCAATACATGAATGAATAAAGACAATGTAGTAAAAATGTACAATAGGATACTTTTTAGGTATTAAAAAGAGTGAAATTTTGCCATTTGTGGCAACATGGATAAATCTTGAGTGCCTAAACAAGATAGAAAAGTACATATACACACCAAAAACACAAGTAAGTATATAGATACAGGTGGGTTTCAGGATGGGTGAAATGGAGGAAGTGGGTCAAGGGATGTTATGTGCAGCATAGTGACTATAGTTAATGATAAAGTTCCTAAGAGAGTAGATCTAAAAAGTTTCATCAAAAGAAATAATACAGGTGTGTGATGACAGATGTTTACTAGACTTATTGCAAATATTGAATTATTATAAATCAATTCTACCTCAATAACAAATATATAAATGAATTTTTAAAATTATCCTTCAAAGGTCAAGGTTATCAGATGGAGTGTTGGATTATATAAAATATGCCTTTGTAGATATCTGCCCAGATATTATCTTACAAAAAGAAGGTATTGATTCTCTATTCCTCGTACAATTAAGTCTTACCTTTTATGAAAGTCATTCAGTGGCTAGAGTTATTAAATATTGGATGCCAAACATGAAAAAGAGTTGATATGCAGATATCCATACTTAGTCTACTAAGAAGGAAGCTAATGTATGCATCTGGCGATGAAAATCAGTAAGCATACTCTAAGCTCTGCCTTTGGAGAAATTACCATAAGTAGGCTTACTGAGGTTCTCATTTTACATTTTTCAAGAAAGTGAAAATACCATCCTACTTTAAAGAAACTGGATAATTTTAGAGGAGGGGCACTTATAAATTCTGGAATGGAAAGGTTAAGGCGAGTACAAGAAAGTAGAAATGAAATCATTTCAGAATTCCTATAACACTGCTGCAAATGAGGATTAGTTAGAACAGTTTATGCTCTGTATGAAAAAAAAGTATTTTGGGAAAATCTAGGAAATTTTTACCTCTTGGATATTGGAAAGAATTTTTCTGCTTTGCTTCTTTGACTTCACATCCATCTCCAAAATGTATTTGGTGTTGGCTTTTATTTCTGCTTCTTTGGAAGACTATTAAAAAAAAAAAAAAAAGAATCTGTGAGTTTAGCTTATGTAGCCTAGTGAAACAGATGCTTCAGGACTTCACCAAAACAAGTCACCGTGTACTTTAAAGAAGTTGTTTATGTCCACCAGCTCTGTCAATTTGTACTCTATTCAACACACACACACACACATATTTTCCATAAATGAAACTGTCAGTGGGGAAAAGGAGACCGTTAAGCAAGTAAGAATATCTGTAAATAGTGATGAGTAAACAGTTTAAGAAACTTTCCTTATTGCTTTAACTTTGTAATCTTAGAAGAATGAAAACGATGCAGGCAGAAAACAAAATTGCAGAAATCCAACTTAATCTCCTAGGCATTGATATGTACAAACATATCTTTTTTATATAAACCATCCATCTCAGTTGGGTACCACTGGGAAAGCAAGCTTGCATGCTGGCTGAATATTTGTTCTTGGTGGGGCGGGGGTGGGGAGTGTGATTTGGAAGGTGTACATTTTTTGGAGAGTGAAACTCGTGCAGAGAATAGAATCACTTTTTTTTTTTTTTTTTTGCAAAGTTTAAATATATTATGTGACTGACATAGAAGCGCATACCCAGAAATGGTCACCTACTTATCCCCTCACCTGGCTGTGGTTCTGTGTGCCCTCTAGGGAGGTACAGCTCTGAGAGCGACGTGTGGAGTTTTGGCATCCTCCTCTGGGAGACCTTCAGCTTAGGGGTCTGCCCGTACCCCGGAATGACAAACCAGCAAGCACGTGAGCAGGTGGAAAGAGGTGAGCCAAAGACAGGAGTGGGACTGGCCACACGCAGCCCCAGGGACAGGCGAGGGCAGAGGGGCAATACTGTTTGGGGGTGTAGGGAGAACAGAGGTGTTTGTAAATCTGCTTCTGAACCCCATGGATCGCGTGGCTCTTAAACCTTTTGAGCTTTGAAAATAGAGAGCTCCAGGCTTTCCTCCCACGCCCCCTGCCTGGCCTGACACCTGCAAGGCACACCGTTCAGTCTCGTCAAGGGAACTCGGGGAGCGTTCGTCAAGCCCCTGTTTTTTATTCCACGTGGAACAAACACCATTAGTGTCACTGCGAACGAAATGTAATTAGACTTCAGGAGGTTTCTGAAACTCTGTACCGCTTCTGAAGGCACCCCGTGGGCGTTCCCAGGTCACCACGGGAACAGGAGGAGGTGGTGATGCCAGGCAGTCCAATGTCTCTGACAAAGAGCAACGCAGACCTGACCCCTCGGGAGGGGCCTGGTGGTAGACTGGCGCAGAGGATGGCTTCCTGCCTCCCTCCTGACCTCTCAGACACCCTCCCGAGGCGCACACACAGGCTCCCGCCTGGCACACAGCCGGGATGCACCGAAGCTGTAGCGGATTGACACTCACGTTCATTTCTATTTCACTGTTGAATTGGTGTTTATCAAATCCTCCTCCTTTCTTCAAAAACCTGGGGAGTAGAGATGATTTTTAAAAAAAAAAAAAAAAAAGTTCTGTCCACAGCCTCAGAGCGAATACTTAGAGCAGATGTGCCTGTGATGTATCTCACATCAGAATTAGCAACAAACAAAGGGGGTTCTCCGAACTTGCAGGTAGTTCTGTGGCTCCGTAATAATGAGATACTTGTTTTTAAACAATCAGTTTGCCTTATAAAGGGTGTTTTGTTTCTGTTCCATCTACAACGTAAGGCACTAACCTTACAAACTGCATAACGCCCTGTGCTAGCATTCATGTCTTACCTCCGTTCTTCTTCTGTTGGGCCTTCAGGGTACCGGATGTCAGCCCCTCAGAACTGCCCCGAGGAGATCTTTAAGATTATGATGAGGTGTTGGGATTATAAGCCTGAGAACCGGCCCCGGTTCAGCGACCTCCAGAAAGAGCTCACTACCATCAAGAGGAAGTTTACATAGTGCCGGGCGGGGCCGGACGCACGCAACCCACAGACGTCCTGTCCCTTCGTTTGCAATGAGTTTGTACCACGTTACCTGCACCAGTCTGCCAAGGTTTTTTTTTTTAACTTTTTAAAAATATGTGCCACTTAAAAAAAAAAAAAAGAGGGGGGACAACTGCATTTAAGGAACAGACAGTCCTACCAAGGGCTTCATTAGCTCATCATAGCGATCCTGCCACGCCACTGTCATGGAAAAACACAGGCGCTCACGTGAGGGAGAACAGACGTTCTTCACATCGAGACCACTGATGCTCCTCAAAGCTGTGCCACTCCAGGCCCCGGTCACGGGCCACGTCGGTGCCACAGACCCGACGCCCTCGGTGCCAGAAGCTGCCTAGGTAACGCCACAGAGCTGGCGCTCTGCTCTGCCAAGGCAAGATCACATTTGTAAACATCGTTTCCTACCAGGAATTGTTTGGCCCTCCTGGGTTTTTTGTTACAATTGTCACTCTCCCATGTTAGTAGCGAGGTGGTCAGTTCCCGCCTCGGGCATTGGAAAACCATGCACGGATGTCCTCACACAGCACGCACCTAGCATTGGGGCCGCAGCTTTGAAAGGATGCTTGGGAGAGCTGTGACGGCAAGGAGTCAGGGCGGGAGGGTGATCTGGAGAAAAAGAGCAGCTAGACAGTGGATCAGAGAAGAGAAGGAAAACATAAAATGTCTTCCTATCTAAGCTATGCCTTTACAGACATCAAACATACTTGTTTTATTGTATGGTCTGAAGTCCCAAAACAGAGTCTAAGAAATGATTTTTTTCAGGAGTTTGTAGATAAAGCCTTCTTAAGGGCAAACGAAAAACTTCTTAGAGGAACTGCAAAGCACAAGCCCACAAAACCAGCATGCACCTCAGAGGAGGCCTCCAGAATGTAACGCCCTGCATTGGCGCTATTTCCTGAGCTTCGAAGCCAGTTCAGAAACACTCATGTGCAGACCCACACCACACGAAGCAAGGCGGGTGTGGATGAAGACAAATGGACAATATTGAGAATGAAAATAGGGGGCTGTCCTGGATTTTCTATTTCCCCCTGTGTAAACCCCTAGATTGCTACCTGGAAACCTTCTCCTAGGGGACAGGTGTGCAAACAGAGTGCTGGAGATGTTTCCCAGGAATGTGTGACAGTCACCTCTGGGATTCTGCTGAGCTAACCCTTAGCTGCACCCAGGGACCTTGCCCCATGTTGTGTATATAGTTACCTCTCAGGATCAGTGCGTGTGGGAGAGACGGTCAGGCTCAGGGGTAAATGGGGCCGAGGAGCTAGATTATGTGCTCAGGCATGTGCCCGGCAAAGAGCACCCCAGGGACTGTTTGGTCCTTGTTTATTAGAAGAGCTTATTTATGGGAAGAAAATCCCTCCCGTCCTCTTCGGCTGTTTGCTGGCTATGAATATCACTGCATGGAACTCAAACCAGCACTTGGAAAAGTAGGAAGGATAATACTGAAGAGAAAAAAATGGCTTGTCTATCATTTCAACCTTCTTGCAAGTTTTGTACACATTTAAATGATTACTACGTTCAGACTAAAACAAAAGCATAATAAACTTGCCTTCAAAAATATACTGCAATATTCAAAGCAATTTTTTAAAAGAACTGTTTTCCCTCCTGTCAGATATTGTAAATAAATGGAACCTTCTTTTGATGGCATACACTGTGATAAATCAGGGCCCAGACTTGGGAATTAAAATTAAGTGCTATGGTCTTCAGGCCCCAGCCAGCCTTCAATCATAGGAGTAAGGTGGGGCCATTTGCACCCTTTCCCTAGATTTCTTATTTATAGAAACTGGTCTCCCATCACTTAGCTTCACTGCTAAACTGCAGCAAGGAGAGAGAAGGAGGGTTTGGGCTGTAATTTTGTGAACAAGACCTGAAGCTTAATCTTTGCATTCTGGTTTGGAGAAGGAATATGGCATTGATGATATTTCCCTCACTCTGTTAGAATTTACGATTCACATCGTAACTCTGTGCTTGAATTAAAGCAGCTTTCAAAACACTGTGACAGCTGCAGCATTTAAATTCCGCTTTATTCTTTGTCCCAGAGCAGGCGGTAGAAGAGTTCAGGATCATATCCGTTGTGAAGAATATTAAATTTTATATAGGTACACGCACCAAGAAAAACTTATGCAAAACCACTTTTACTATTAATTTTCCTGCACTTAAAGCATAATTTATTCATCCCTTCTGTCACTGATAATTATTGGAATTATGTACTTTAGGTGGCTAATCCATAACCAAAAAGAACACATACTGTTCTGAATTTGCAACTTGATGTAGGAAAAGAAGGCTTCAGAAATGCACAAAATCCTGTGACTTGTAAGAAAATAGTTGTAACCCAAATTGCCACTGGTCTGAATGTAATTAAGCCAGGTTGCAAATCTTTGTGTTGTTAATGGATTTTTCAAGAGGTTCATTTATCACTCTCAAACAGTTCCTGTCATAATTTCTTAATTTATGAAGGGGGGGGGGGCTATCAGGCAGTCTGAATCTCACCTACATTTTTCTACCTTGAATCACTAAGGAGCCTTTATGAAAAATATTTAGCTAGTTTATCATTTTTCAAGGAAATAAATCTTTTAATGTCAAAATTAACATTTGTTACCAACATGTGAGAACAGATTTTGTATTTGAGTAATCAGAGTTTATTTCTCAAAGCCAGGGTATTCCTTCTTTCCCAGGAAAATAATAATATTATAATATTATTATAATAATAATAACAAAACCAGAGGCTGTATTTCAGCTGTCCTGCCACTAGGTCCTGGTAAAAGGCCTCATGTAAATCCTTCCTTTCTTATCTCCCAACTGTAATATAAGCAATAAAGTTCTTCATTCAGAATGCACCATTTTATCACAAATAAGTAGATTAGCACAGACCATGAGCTACCATTTAGCGTGCATTTCACAACTATTTTTCCACTTGAGGGTTATTTTTTTGAAAGAAAAATGTTTAGTCACCGAAACCATTTCCATTTTCTTCAAACCACAATATGGTTTTCTCGTCTATGTTATATTCATGTTTCAGTGTCGCCGAATAATTTTATACAGTTTGGTTAACACCACTGAAATAACCATACTTCACAGTACTGGTGTGAGATTACGTCAGAAGAAAGTGTTGTAACTATCATAGCTGTCACACACTGAGGACCTTACAGTGGGATAAACAAACAGAATGTCCCACCTGACCCTTCAGCCCGTGAGGCACTGGGCATTCTGAGGGTGAGCCGGGAAGCCTCGCTCAGTGAGTGCTCTGAGTGCACTGTTCTGTGGCCTGGGACATGAGAGTAATTGAAAAGAGCCTGTTCGCCTCTGCCCTCTTTATTTTTCCCTTGATCACATGGTATTTAAAATGTTTCTTCTCAACAAAATTGATTATCCCCGAGCACTGTTCTGAGTCCTGGAGAGACTGACTTGTATGTAGGAGGCCAGAGCTCTCACACAAAACAGAGAATAATGCAAAATAAAAAGGGCAGACCATTGAAAGCCACTTTTCCTTATGTATTAATGTGTTAATTAAATGGAAACAAAGATTTTTATATGAAAATGAGTTTATATTACTTTCCCATTATACTATTAAGTTAGCGTGAAAGTTTACCATTAAAATAAAATGTTACCTCTTTTATTACTAACTTTGATTTGCTTATACAATGCCAGAAATTTTTTTTATTAAATATTTTAATTTTATTTATTTTTCTCTGTTTTGATGAGTTTATAGCAAGTGTGAATTCTATTATTATTTGGTAGCACCCAGAGCTGCATATTCATTTGTGTAAAAAAAAAAAAAAAAAAAAAAAAAGTAGTCCTGTACCAAGATTACCTACTTGCAAGAGATTGGTACATTCCCATAAAATTTTCCTTTAAAAAATAATGCCATAATAGCAAAGATACATAAACTATATGCCTTAGTCATAATTCAATTTAAGGAAATATTTATTGCCCCCTGAAAACCATCCTACTGCCTCATGCCCATTCAGTGATTATATTCTAAACTAAGTTTAGACACTAAGCTGTACTTAGCTGCCTAATAAGGACTGAGGTTCTCGGGCAGTAGAGAAACCTACTGTTCTGAATCCCTAGTCACTTGAACGGCGGTGTAGTAACGAGCACAGGCTACAGCCCAGGGAGCTGAGGCAAGCCCGTCTGAAGGCAAAGAGAAAAGAACCCGTTGTTCCACCCTATGGGGAGAGTGGCATAATTAACGTGGAACAAAGACTTGGACGATGTCCCTAGAAAACCTACGGGAAGCAGTGCCACCAGCCAGATCCCTCCTACAGGAAACGGAGAAGGTCTTGGGGCCGAAAAGAGGGAAGGTGGTCACCTGCCAGCACGTGGGCCTTCGTCCGAGCGAACCACACGCCTGCTCCCTGCGTTTGGAGCAGGTTTGCGTCCCTGGCTGGGAGGTGCTGCTGTGCTGGGCGACATCTGTATCACTGTCCTGCCACTGAAGGTCTTCAAACTTTTAGAAAGCATCTTTATAAGTGCATTAGTTATATTTAATATTTCTTACACTGAGATCGCTGATTATTCATACCTTATTGGGAATCTTTGCTTGCAGTGGGACTTTACCTAGGCCAGTGGTCGGCAAACCGCGGCTCTTTGGCCCCTTGAGTGTGGCTCTTCCACAAAACACCACGTGGGCACGCACGTACAGTGCGATTGAAGCTTCGTGGCCCATGCGCAGAAGTTGGTTTTCAGCTCTCAAAAGAAATTTCAATCATTGTGCTGTTGATATTTGGCTCTGCGGACTAATGAGTTTGCCGACCATTGACCTAGGCTAATCTGAGGATAGCGTGCTTCTCTCAGCCCTCGTTCACCTCGTGACTGATGCCAACTAATTGGCTCCTAGCGTTACCCCTCAGGGTCCTCACTGTCATAAATTCTACTCTGGGAAAACATGGGATTAAGCAGGGAGGTAGGAAAATGCCAATCAAATAGCAGGGCCCCATGTCTTTCTACTATTAACCCTTG